GATCCATCCATCCATCCATCCATCCATCCATCCATCCATCCATCCATCCATCCATCCATCCATCCATCCATCCATCCATCCATTTATTTGGTAGAAGCCCTGTGTTTAGGGTCTGGGAAGCCAGTCAGAGGTATATAGTAGATATATCTGATAATGTTTACTGATGCTTTTATTTTGAATTATATTATTCTTACAGAGGGGCGAGAAGATGACAGCCGAGGAGGTGAATGCTGTTTTCTCTTTGGTAGACATCAACAATGATGGCAAACTGGACTATGCTGAGGTCTGTTCAGACAAGAGTAACCTTATTGGGTATTACATTGTGGGATGATTAAATAAAAAAAGAAGAGAAATTTAGAGATTATCTGCCTTTTTTTATACAAAATATCCTTTTAACCTTTTCAGTTTCTATATAGTTTTAACTCTTTTTGTTGCCAATTGGTTTGGATTTGTTGTTCATTCCCCCGAAAATGGAGTCATTTATGTTCCTGTTTCTTGGCTCCAAACATTGCTCTTTTATCATTTTCTTATCCCTTTTCTTTTGCTGTCAGTTCTGCAGGCAGCTCGCATCCACAGTGGAGCAGTGTCAAACGGCTGCTTTGGAGAACCTAAAAGCTGATGCTAAACTAAAGAGGCAGAACTTTGGCAGCCAGTTGTACAGCCCTCCTAAAAGCTCAGTGGCATCACCATCATCTGCATCAACAAGTCAGCATGCAGAATCAGACTCCACTACCAAGAAAGGTATAATATAATGTGTAAATAGAAGATATAAAGCAAGTTTACCCCAAATATTCCCAGTGCACCTTTATGATCAGTTTTGATTAATAAATAATAGCTCTTTATTGATCAATTTTTCATCCCCAGCATGACAAATCGCCCCATTAAGGCAGTTCAGATTTCATAATAGCCACAACATTAGGGCGGCTTGTTTAGAGGGCGGAGACTGGAAAGTGTTTTAATCCTGGTAATGATTACTGCCATTAGAAGATGGATACCAACTCATTTGGGCTTGAGACCATTTTGATTCAGTCAACCTATTTTCTTTTTTGTTTTGTTTTTTTCCCTAAAAGGGTTAAGGATCTGTACATTTTCTTTCACCTATCTCTGAAAAGAGGACACAAATTAGCTTGTTTTTATTTAGAACCCAACTGTTGAAGAAAAGATTAGAAAGCTGGAGCTCCAGGATGACAAGGAAAGTAGAAAGATAAATGGGGTTGATTTAAGTGGTCAGTCCATTGATTTGGGGAGGATTCCACCACTTCTCACTTGGGAGGTGATGAGGGATTAGAGAGGAGGAGCAGACAACCACCACTGCAAAAACAGATGAGCTCCACGTAGTAGCCAGGATTATCACGTTATTGTGCCTCTCCCATGTATTGATTTATACCTGTTGCGTTTTCACAAGGCTTTGACCTGAGATGCTTTAAGATCACACACATCAAATGGGTTATTTTTGGAGCCTCAATGCTCCACTATTTTGTTTTGTTTTTATTTAGGCTCACATTTGCCTTTAAAGTGTCTTTACCTCAAATGTAAATGGATAATTACAGGAATGTATTTAGAACAAAAACAGCTTTTTTTATTCTTAAGTGTCAAAAAGCTAACTATTGTTAAATATTGGATTCATTTATCTCAGTTTCTTAAATAACTTATCACATTTCCGAGCGTCCTGAATTTCCATGTTTGGAAACAATCAGTCCCCTTATTAGAAAATAAAATATACTTCCTGCATTAATTAGTGTTTATAGTTATGCGAGAAAATGAGCTTGAAGGATTTCCTTTAGTGATTTAATAAGGCAAGCTAATTAATTTCAGGGAGATGGATCTTGAGATAAAACTTTCTCAGAACCCAAAAGCAAATTCTGCTTTGACACTCTACTGTGCAGACACGCTTCTAAGAAGACATTAGACGATTATAGAGTGGATTTCGTCCCGCTCCTAATTTTGCTTTTGGGACTGTATGTACTGTTTGTTGGACTGACCGGCATCTGTTAGCTACAATTTTGTAGTTGTTGTTTTTTTCTATGTTGAATCTTCCTCTAACTGCTGTGTGTTTTTTCAGACAGCCAGTGCCCGTCTCGTCCTCCCTCTGCTCGCAGCAGACGGTCCTCCCTGTCAAACTCAGTCACAATGGTATCCAGCAGCAGTAAAGCAGCAAAGGTCCTAGAGCCTCCAGGTTTGCAGGTATCTGAAGCTGCTAGTTCTTGGTGTTAATGTGCATGTAATCATTCGAAATGTATAGGAGAGTGCTTGATATATAAACATGTGATACATTCATTATAAGCTGCTGTTGTATACTAAATGTGACTTTTTTTGGTCAAAGGGGGTAAAATTTCCCAGATTTTACTAAAGTAGGACAGATGATGTACCTAAATGTCTCGTTTTATTCTTTTTTCAAACCTGATGATCAGCCAACAGTCTTTAATTTATAGTTTAGAACTATATATAATGCTTATGTTTGCCACCAATTATTAGCTAAATTACTCAACAAATAGAGCCAACTCCTGGTCAGCAAGTCCAAGCATTAAGCATGCTGGGGTGAGTTAACCTCCATCTTTTTTTTCTTTTTTTTTTTTTACAGAGAATCTGCATAAGGTAGCATGAGGTTAATGTTATTCTATGGTCAGTGAGAATTCTAATCTTGAATGGATGACTTATTTTTACATAGTTCGGAAAGCTAAAACACTGTCATTTCACTCCACTACGGGCGTCACCATAGCAACGCGAGACTATTCATTTCCGATCAGTTTAACTGGTGAATACAAAGCTTGGTGGGAGCAGTGTAATACTTTTAAAACAAGAATTGTGAAACAAAACATTTGATTGATGGGAAGAAGAGGAGAGCAAACATTTGCCTTCAAAATAAAAAGTTACATACTGTCTATGCGTGCGTTAGCCAACGACAATAAAATCTCTTCATGATCCCACATTTCATTTTACAACTGTTGGTTAGCATAAAATAAATCAAGGCTAGGATTTTTTTTTCCTATACCTAAACATGATGGGTGAGTTTAGTAAATCAAATAAACGTTTGTCATTATAGGTTTTTTACTCTGTGAACATGGTATAGCATGGATCCTTGTTTAAGTCTTATTTTTTCATAGATGTTTGCTACATTTGCATAGAAAGCAAAAAAAAATAAAAATAAATGGTGACAATAACTTGTGTGATATTTGAAATAAGCAACATTACAGTCTGGCCGCAGGGAAAAGAATGGCTTTGGGGGCAACGGTGGTGTTGGGTACAGGAGTTTGCCCTGCAATCTGAGCTTGTCGGTTCGAGCCCCGGCTCCGGCTTTCAGTATAGTTGTGTCCTTGTGCAAGACCCTTCACCTTCATTACCTACTGATGGTGTTCAGAGGGCCCGCTGGCGCCAGTCTAAGGCTCGCTTCTGTCAGTGAGCCCCAGGGCAACTGTGGCTACAATGTAGTTTGCCACCATCAGTGCGTGAATGGGTGAATGACTGAATGTAGTGTAGAGTGCTTTGGCCAAGTCTACTGACTTGAAAAAGCGCTATATGAGTACAGGCCTTTTACCATTTTAATGACGGCTTCTTGATAGATTTATTTGAACAGCTGACTTTAAGATGATGAAAAAGATTGGACTTTGGTTTTTAACTGTAAAAGTTAGTTTAATTTAAAAACAGCAGTTCTGATCGCTGAGAAACAGTCCAGTATTCAGTCTCTTTAGCTCAGATAGGAAACTACTGGCATCTCACTGATGTTCTCATAGGACACTGACTTTAGCTACAGTCCATGTCTTGTGAAGCTTTCCTGAACTCTTCAGTGATTTTGGTTCACTCTCCTCTCGAAGCTGCTGTTATCCCTTCTGCTCATGGATTGTTGAACATTTTTTCTTTCCATCCAACTTTCCTATGAGATGCTTGGATGCAGCACTATGGGGAAACCCGCCTTCTTGATCAGAAACAAATATCTCTTCAACAAAACTTGTCATTAGGTATTATAAAATCACAGTCGCTAAGAAACTACCTGTAGGGTTTTATTATCTTTAGGTCATTATCATAAAAAACTGCTTAATATACATTACTCTGTTTGTAATGCATCTAAATAGTGAGTTACCCATTTATTTATCTAAAATAAATTAAATGTATTTTCTATTAAAAATATGCTAAACTGACATTTCTAAATGTCCATATTTAGTATGTTTTTGATATCTGCAGAGGATGCCATTATGTGGCTGCCATGGAGTGACTTCAATAGCTGAATATAGCCTGGAGTGGATAGATATATGCTGTATTGATCTGCTGCTCTTTGTTTTCACTCTTTTTGGCTTAACCTTGGCTGGTTTTCTTTACAGCAAAGAAAAAAAAACACATAAATAAATAAATAAACAGAAGTGAACAGGTCTAAGCACTGTGTTGAGATTGGAAACGGCCAGACATCATTAAGGGTAACAGAATGTGTGTCCAGAGAGTACCTCGAAGGGGAACTTCTGCTCCCTGTATTGGCTCCCTTTATTGCTAAGGGCTAATAACTGTGGCTGATGGAGGATAGATGTGTTGCCATTTCAGTATGCACATATTGTAGCATCTTCTGAGGTATAATTATGTTCTGTTACATGGACATTTCCAGAGAAATAATTTGTCTTTTTTTCTACAGCTTTTTGTATATATCAGAACGGGATGGAAAAAGAAGGTTTATTAGAGTGCGTGTTTATGTGAGATTGTGTGTGTGTGCTTGTAGGTGGCTGGTTTGGTGTCCTGCGACCCTGTGAGACAGTAAATCAGACCTGTGGCTGGAGCAGGTGACAGAGCCTGTATTAGTCTGCAGGCTGACCCTCTCTCTATGGAGGCATTAATTCTGATGTCCTTAACCAGTGGATGGGTGCCCATGGCATTTTCCCTCATTTAATATTGTCTGGACAAACCACCGAAGTGTTATGGTTTGATCTTTTATGCCTCTCACTGCCCAAGATAAATACGCAGAGAAAATGGCTTTTCTCTAAAGGAGTGGCATGCTCCGTCTTTATGGTACTTTTCTTTGTTTAACTTGGTGATTTATTTGTCAACTAAAAGGATATATGGCCTATTCCAGCCTTGCTTGGCCCTCAATGTGCCTTTTACTGTGTGTTCACGTCAACTGTGTTTTCATTTAATGTGTCTCCAAAGAGGGGAAGGAAAACTTCCTAGTGCTGATGTTCCAGTTCAATTTCAAATTATTACCTAATTTCGGTTGTGTAGCCAGACAAAGCAACAACGGGACTGCAAAATGAAAGAAATATTAGAATTCATAAATATTGCCAAAGTAGCCCCTGGATAGTTTTGAACAGCCGCACAGTCAAGATTGAAGACGCTGTATTTATCAAGGTTAAATGGACTCCATTTGCCCCAATAAGGTCCAGGAGGGAGAGTTACCCCAGCCTCTGCAGACGCACAGTATGACACTCCTGCCCTCTTCTGGACCATCACTAATATAGCATATGTTCGTACTGCTGAGATTATATTAAATGAATTTCTCCCATGAAGATGGGAATGGTAATTATAACCGTGGCAGTCTCTGTTAATCAACTGAACTTCTTCCGCTTATTTATGCCAAAATATACTTCCCTTGTCACAAGATCTCTCTTGCTTTAAATAGAAACTGATAATTAGTTTTGGTTTCTGTTGACTGAATTAATAAATTTTAATGTCAGGAAAAGAAAAAAAAAAAAGAATAGAGTGTAACTTTGTCAGGATGTGAGCTGAGGCAGCAATCATTTCTAAACATTAAAAAATGTAATGTTTAATGTGCATCACGAAGGCCCCGAATCAGAGGCAACCATAATTCTCTGATTGTTACCCTTGTTTGTTAACCAGCCATGCATTTGTAGAAATGTAAACATCTTGTTTTTCCATAAGGATTGTTTTCTGTCATTGCAGGATTGGCACCGTATCTGTATGAAAGGCTGCTTCTTTGTCGAAGATAACGGGAGCATTAGCTCCCTCCAGTACAGACTTCATCTTCCTCAGACATCCAGCATCTATCTCACCATCCAACCTTTGAACCTAAGCCACAGACCTGGTTAGTTTCTACAGGATCTTCATGATAACACATAGAAAACCTTAGCATGCTCAACCAAACATTGTAGGATGGAGTAACCCTTAACATGAGACCCTTTTATGTTGGTAAAATATTACATGAACTTGCATCCATCTGTCCGTCCATCCATCCATCCAGTCTACAGGCGAAAGGCGGGATACACCCTGGACAGATCGCCAGTCCATCGCAGGGCAAAACAGAGACATATAACCGCACACACAAACACTCGAGGACAATTTAGAGACCCAAATTAACCTAACAGTCATGTTTTTGGATTGTGGGAGGAATCTGGAGTACCTGAAGAGACCCACACATGCATGGAGAGAACATGCAAACCTGGAATCAAACCCAGGACCTTGCTGGAAGGCAACAGTGCTACTACTTGCGTACATTTAGCTACAAGATTTTATTATTTTCCAAATTTCGTAGCATCTGTCAAACCCATCATTTTTCAGTCTTTGTGTCAAGAATCTAGTCTTTTTTTTCTGATGTTTATATGAAACTAATTAATCGTTCATTTTGCTCTTTGAAATTTTTAAAACACTATTTTTCAGACTCATTCTCTCAATAACTTCATGTTCCGCTTTGCCATTTTCTGACTAAAGCTCTGTTTAAGTCATTTAATCATGAGTTATGAACCCTAAAATAAGAAAAAATCACTTTGTTTGGGTGCAGCAGTGGCACAGAAATTCACAATCCATCAATGGAGGCCATAGTCTCTGAGGCAGCTTTCCCCAACCAACTGGTTTACTACATGTCTCCCCCCTTTTTCCTCATCCCCCTCCAGTCTGTCTACCTTGAGGTGAAGCCCTCTAGTGGCACAACAATTTTAAAAAGCCATCTGAGTTCAGCAGATGCTTAAGTTTAGTATTGTGTCAACATACAACAGACATCTTTGCAGTGAATCTTTTTAATGTTGAAGCTTTTTCATTAGCTCTCAGCCTAAGGTGCTGTTAAGCCTAGCCTTAATCAACTGGCAGAGCTTGATTTATTTTTAAAGCTCTACAAAAGCGACCTGCCAGACTTTAATTTAATAATCTGATGTCCTAAAACAGGGTTCTGCGACCTGCAGCTCTTTGGTTCTTTTACAATGACAACAACTTTACTAAAAAATGATAAAGACCCAAATAATAGGTTTAAATAAGAAATAGGTCTCGTTTTTAAAATGCTCAGTTTGTGGGTCTAAAGTTTTAATTAGCTGGATGTTATTTTTAAGTATGTGCTGTTTTAGGTCTTCCATTTGATCCACTGACAAGCAAGCCATCAAAAACATCCTGTGGTGGGCGTGCAGGTGGGGCAGTGGTTAGTGCGGTGACCCATTTAGGGAGTCCTTAGTCCTCGACGTTCGAATCTGACCTGTGGTTCTTTGCTGCATGTCTGTCCCCCTCTCTCATACCCCCTTACCTGTCAGCCTGCTGTCGAAAAAAACGAGCCACTATTGCTGCAAAAACTCCCCCCCAAAAAAAACATCCTGTGGGGGGGTTGGAGGATGACAGTTTATTTTCAAGTCTTTAATATTGGGGGGAAAAAAACAGGAGAACATGCCCTTTAAATAAAGTAAGAGTGTGCTGACCTTGTCTGCAAGGTAATGGCAGCTGGACCATATTTACCGTTAGAGTAGCAGTTTGAAAGCTTAAAGCAGATGAATATGTGACAAACAAAAATAGACATTTAATATTGCCACCATAAATTGTGAAAAGTATGGAAATTGGTTAAAAGAGAGTTCCCATCTTTTCCAAGGTTGCCAGCAATCATCAGTGGCACTTTGTGTTGGTGTTTGGCTAAAGGTTCTTTTGTAGTCACTTTGCTGAATAAAAAATGTATTTCATGCCACAAAGGTAGCTTTTTTTATATATATATTGTTCCAATGAACAGAAAACATTAATGTTTGTAATTTGGTAGTTTATTTTTTTAAAATCTAATGAATTCATAGTTTGAAGGCAAAAAAAATCTCTCCATGGAAACCTAATATATGTTGTATAAATTCCATTTTTATCTGTTCTACATGTTGTTTAGGTTTTTGTAATACAAAAGGAATTAAATAAATACAATTTCTTATATTTCTTGATCTTCAGACAAGCCTCAAAGATGGATGAACGTGGACACGGCTCTTTTTGTCACGTCAGCTGGTGAAACCAAAGAGGACTCATCTTTAGTGTGTTTCACCGAATCTAAAGATAAAGAAGTAAGTTTGTGTGTAAAAAATCTTTCAGTGTCGTATTTATCCATATTCTATAATTTCCTTTTATACATAATATGGAATAAATCCTGATATCAGGGATGGATACTAGTGTCATCCCTCTGTGCTTGTACTTTTTTGATCATTCATTGAAACTCATTTTCTTAATGCAGAAGTATGTTTGGAAAGGAGAGCTAAATGCAGGGACGTACCACCTGCTTCCCTTCACCAGTGGCTGCAGATTGAGGAAACAAGGCAAAAACAGCTTTCCAGATAAATCTGTCAAACTTGTCTACAAGACTGATACGGGGGAACTAGACCTCACCAGTGAGCTGAGGTAGAGCTTCATCCATCTGATATAGATATCTGTTATCTTCAAAGACTTTGAGCTGAAAATGCCCAAAATTGCAGGACATTTTTTTTTATCATAAACTCAATATACAATGCATTTATCTGTGATACCCTCTTTTTGCCACAGGGAGGTGCTGTCTGAAATCTTTGAGGTGATTGACCTGGATGGCAATGGTTTGCTGAGCATGGAGGAATACAACTTCTTTGAGCTTAGGACCAGTGGGGAAAAGTGTGACAGTGATGCCTGGGCTGTGTGTAAAGGTAATTGGTGATAGAATTTAACAATAAGAAAACTTCCAGGTTTTTACAATCATTTCTTACTTTGTGGGGCTAGAAAACTTTGATATGAGAAAGAACCAGCTGACACGACAAGGTTTCATGGAGCTGAACCTGATGGAGGCCACAGAGAAAGATGGAGACCCCGCAGACCTGTGGATGACACTGGAATCTATGGGTTACAATCGTTTGCTGGAGATGGTAGAGGTAGGTTACAACACAAGACGAAGCCCAATCAGAAGTTCAATGAGTTGAGTTTGTGGTTAATCGTGAATTTTCTCTAACTTAAACCTTTCGTCCTGCTCTGTAAGGCATGTCCTTTCCAGATAGACGTGTACTGTGAAGGTACTCGGCCATCCATGCAGCCACTTAACATGGACTCCGGCACAAAGCTGTTGAACCAAGCCCTCCAGAAGTCCATTACCTCTAGGTTTGGGGCCAAAGCCCTGCGTGGACATGATAACGTCTTCATCTACACCTACAAAGGAGACTGCCGCATTTCCTCCCTCATAGCCAACAAGGTGAACCACAAATGTTGTTTAAAATAATCTAGCTGTGTGGGTTTCACTCTGCCGGTCTGAATTTTTCATTCACTCACTACTGGCTTAAATGAGGTAGTTTTTAAAGGTGTATTTCATTCCTTATTTTATTGTAGTTTCAAAATAGGAATTGGCCAGGTGTAGAACATAAACAGAGACACAGTTACTATACCACATTACCGTACTTACTTTTTTACAGTCTGAAGATCAATCACTTTCAGACAAATCACATATTTTGAAGACGTCAATGAGATTCTGGCAAAATTCTCTCTTGGTCTTTGCCCACACTGATAGTGGAAAGGATAGAGGCTCACTAAACTGGTCAACTTCCATACAGAAAGTTAACTTTGAGACACAGGCAGTACCCATTCAATACATTTAAGAATGAGGTCTTTCCTTGGGCCTTATGTTTGCCAGCTTTATCTGTTCCAGAATCTTTTAAAATATCCATGCATGTTCAGGTTATAAAGTTTTGGTTTTAGTGCCAACACATTAAGCCCAAAGACTGAAGCTCAGCATAGGCTACAAGAGGCTGGGACACCAGTGCCATTGTCCCTAGAGAAGGAACTGAGAGGATACTACCGTGATAAAAGCTTCAAAATCAACAGCTACATGCTGGGTTGAAATTAGCTGCTGAGCACATATTGAACCTAAACCCCAGGAGAAAAGTTTTATGACAAGATAAATCTGAGCCGTTTGCCCATAATGAGAAGAAGTATGTTATAAGCTAATGTGAGGTTAACTTCTCAACATAGCAACAGTTGTCAAGAGAGTTAGTGATAGCATCATGCTAAGGCACTGGTTTTACTGGTGAACTGCACTTCATGCATGGAATGAAAACCACCAAAGTTTCTATCTTCACCTTAACTCCACAACTAGGCATTTAAAATGTCAGCGTAATTGGGTTTTCTCAGCTGGCAGTAATTCAAAACAAACATCCAGACTGGTTCACAAGGGACAAATTCAATTCATTTAATTTACAGAGTGCCAATTGAAAACGTGTCATCTTGAGGCACTTTACAGAGAAAATACAGTCAAAGCCCACAGATGAAAAGTTTTCTGTCATTATCTTTGCAGAATTCGCTCCTCCTGGATCAATATATCGGACGTTCACTTGCACAGTGTTGTTAACTTTGCAGCGTGCATGGCGAGAGTGCAAAAACCAGGCTAGCATTAAGGCTTCTGGAATAGCTGCGACCTCAACTGGTTGAATATTTGTTTGTGTCTGAAAACCATGCAACAGACGTCAGCAAGATAACAAGATATTCCAAATAAGTAAAAAACAATCCACTGGACTTTGTTTTGAAGACATTTCGCTTCCCATCCAAGAAGCTTTTTCACTTCAAAATGTCAGAATTAGTGTCGAATTTGAAGCTTTATGTAGTAGCCCAAAACTTGTTTTGGCTTAGAAAACATGCAAATTGAACAAGAAAAACAGGTCTGTCCGTCAGGAATGGGGAGCCGTTTTGGGTTCTTTGTTAGCCTGCAATACCTGATACTGGTCTATGCCTCTGCTAAGTGGGGGTTGTTAGGGGTAATTGTTGGCTTGGCTGCCCAGATGAGATGTTTTGTACCCTGCACGGGGGTGTGAGTTGAAATTATAGCGTTAAAGAATGAACTCTATCACAATTCTATCCAAATCAATGCTAAAAAAAAGATTCCTAGTTGGAAAGCGAAACATCTTAAAACTTGGACACAAAGTCCGGTGGATTGTTTTTAACTTTTTTGGATTGACTTTGACCTCAATGACTTAGGATCTTCACCAACAAGATATGCACACATCCAGGCAGAATTTTACCCAAAGCTTGCAAATGGTTGCACGAAAGTGTTTTTTTTTTTAACCATCATGCAAAGTAACCTCTAAATATTAGTTGTGGGTTATCCATACATTTGAACCCCTATGTTGATTGTGATGTAGCTAAGAGAAAATCTACAATAAATTTAAACTTGGGCACCAAGAGGCAGCAATAAGAGGGATTCAGACTACAATTCCCAGGGTTTTAGTCAATACTATCTGAAGTGGTTGTTGTCCATTCACTCCAGCTTCATTGATATGCAGCAGGGGTATACATTGTCCAGGCAACAAAAGCTAGATTGAATGAATGTCTAAAATAGCAGAAAACAGTTTAGCAGAGAAAGTAGGTACCTACCTATTATGACCCACGACTAAGTAAAGTTTAGAAACCTTCTTTTTCTTTTATCACCATTTATCTGTCTTAACTGATCCCAGCATTTATTAAGTTTGATCTGAAGTAAGTTGAGCTCTGCTTTCTGTTCTGCAGGCCAACCAAAAGGTGACGGTGCATGTAAACAACGAGCAGAGCCGAAACTGCTGCAGCAGCAGAGGGATGACCACGTTTGCTGTAGAAGTTCCACCCAGAACCAAAATGGTAAAAAAAAAATCAAGTCCAACACATCTTTATTTAATAAAATGACACCGCCACCAGACAAAAGCACCAAAGTATATGTAGATTTTATACACTAACGCTGGGCCATGGTTGCCCAAGCCTGCACCTGTGATGTAGGTGAGATCCAGCACGTCTTTTTATTCAGTAAAAAAGTTAAACAGAAATGGTCAGCATTTAGCCACTTAGGGCAGCAATGAGACAAATATTTTAGAACTAAAGAATAAAAAAAAATTAAATTCAAGTAGAATCCCATACACGCAGAAAATATGGGTCAAATGACAGAAGGGTTGATTGCTGCGTGAGTTGCACTTTAAGATAACAGTAATTGTGAATTTTCTCTACTTGTGGGTTTTTTGGATTTAAATGCTTAGAGTTAGCAGTGCAAATTCTTTGCATGAAGTTCACACATATGCATTTATGTCCAAAGTCATTGCAGTGGACCTGTTGATGCATCCTATCTTTAGTGAATATGTAACCCAAAAAAAATTGGATGTACTTTAAATATTTCATACAGACCTCTTCATTTAAGCCAGTTAGTTAATATAATTAAATGGAATATCCACTTAGTTTTAGATTATAAAAGCTGATAAGATCTTAACTATAATCATTTGTTTCCCAATTTGAGAGTTTACTTATAATCCTGCTCCAATTTACTGTTTCAATCCAAATCAGTTTACAGTCAATTTAGTAAAATCATACAATTAGATCAGTGAAATGTTTTTTTTTTATAAGGAAACCCAGCTGATAGAATTGTGTCTGTCACTCCATCTGAATCCATCAAACTGGTAACAACTATTGAGCCGTAGTGAAAGTGTGTCGGCGTTCACCATAACTGCTGGCCGAATAGTGCTTGCAGAAAGGAAGGAGGTGGGAGGGTTTTTTTCACTGTGGTAAGGGGTCGATAGCCTAGCATTGGCACCATTATGGCTTCCCCCACTCAGAATGTTTCCACACATAAGGGCGATTCATGTTTGAGAATAAGAAAATACTTCTACAAAAATGCAAAAATGAGACAACTCTTATTCATAATATCTATAATTGTGATCTCCTTCATCTTATCTGATTACAAGCAGTAAAAACAGAAAAGAAGATTGTGGTCAAAGACATTTAAACTCCTCCAGTGTGTGTGGTAAATGGTGCACTGGCATTATGTTGAGCTGAATTGTAAGGCTTCTTTCTAGCATACCTAAACAAAGGAGATAACTTAATTTTAGGTTAATTTAAGACATGTTTTTGAATGAAAAGCTCCTGCAAAACCACTGATTAGTTAAAGCCTTAACCATCTGATTTCACAGGAACTGGTTGTACTCTGGCTCTAAGGGTTCCTGCTCAGTGTGAAAAGGCCACTTCTGTAGACTTTTCTGCAATAGATTCAAGGGACAGTTATGTATATGTACTTTTAAAATGGGCTAAAAAGGATGTAAAACTCTGTAATAAAAGATTTGAGGTGTGAAATTGTAGGCATAGAAATCATGTTTGAACCGCTGACCCCATCCACAGAAATCAGAGAAAAGGAAACCAGTTTCCCTGTTATGGAAAGTTACAAAACTTTCACTGCATATTCAGTGATTATTTCTGTCTTGGACTAGAAACACATACGTTTGTTGTTTTTTTTTTGTTCCAGGTGTGTCAACATGTGCTACCCATGAACGAGAATCAGGATTGGATCTATAACTGTGTGGAGACCAGTTTATCCAGCACATCAAGCTAAAAGTTCTTAACATTATGTTGTCATACTATGGTTACTAAAAGAAAGAAATACTTTGTATTCACTCTATGAAGTTTTCACTTTCAGTTATTTGATGCAGTTTAGAAAATTGTTGTTTGTTAAGATTCAGTGAAGTTAAATTAAATCCCTTATCTTCTCAGCCAATGTCAGACTTTTACATCTTTTTTTAAGAAAAGCTTATAAGTCACATTCGTTAGTTAGTCACACTACCCTGTCACAACCACAGTACAGGTGCAGTTAATAAAAGTAAGTTCTGTTTATTCCATTTGTTCAGCCATGCTTAGTTTTTTTTTTTTTTTTTTTTCATACAAATATGCTTTGTATGGAGCTCATGTCAAATGATCCCGATGGATATTTAACTGACACAAGATTAATCTTATAAGTTGACAAAAACATTTGGTCTGGAAATAGTGTATTTATTATTTTTACAGTGAAATAAACCAATGTAGGGGGCAAAAACATTCTGTTTATCATCTGTATCTATCATGTGTGAAATCTGTCTAAAGCTGCTGGTAATTTTCCTCATGTGGGCATGTCAGGATGTGTAGTTTGCAGTGAAACGCATTCCTCTGGACTGCACTCAGATCTCAGCTTTACTTGGCCTCGACCTTTGCAGTATGAGCCTGACCTCCTATTTTTGTCTCTTGGGCCATTATCTGCCCTTTGACTTTCACTGCTGAAACAGTAGAGCCAGCTGACCTAAATGTCACATGGCATGTGAGATGTATTTAATATCCTAAGCCCGTCTGTGCCTCTTTTTCCAACAGTGGTTTCGCTCTGCTGCTTGCTTTGAAGGGTTGGTTGTTTAACCAGATCGATGGTCTGTCGCTGAAACAATCTTTACTAATCCAGAGCAAAATAAAAAAAAAAATAATCCAGCACCTTTATGAGAGTAGTTATACTCTTAACATTTTCATGTTTTTCCACATTAAAATAATTACTTTCAGTTTGTTAATTTGAATATTGTATATCAGAATACATCATATACCAGTAAAACATAATCTGTGTAAATTAAAATAAAAATAATACTAAGTTTAAATAATTATTAATTATTTACAAGTAAAAACCTTAAAAATGCTTTATGGATTTGTATTCAATCACACCCTGTTGCATTCAGCCATGACTTAATTATTGAATGAAGTCCACCTGTGTGTAATTTAATCCAGTGTTCTGTTGGAGATTATAGAGACACATTTTAGGCCATCATCTGACATGGTAAACATGCAGGCACATGTTCAAGCCTGCCATCATACAACCATCCACCTAACCTAAAAGGCTGTTTTCCAAAGAAATTGGGCAATGAAACTTATTTTTATTTGCATAAAAAATATAGAGTTCCATAAAATCCACTAAGGTCTGCGTTTGCTAAATGACTACAATTTAAAACAAAATTCCAGGTTTATTTTCAGTGATTTCCAAGTTGCAAAAACAATCTAAAAATTAGTAAAAAATTTTCCAAAAACTAAGTGTATTTGCCCATAATTTCAGTAGGTAAATATTATGCACTTAAAATAAGACGAAGCAATAGTTTTGTCTTATTTTAAATCAAATTTGTCTTGTGATATTGGGAAAGTGTCTCACTTACCTGCTCAATTCAAGAAAAAAAAATCCTTATTTTAAGCAAAAATTACTTAATTAGATTTCATTTTTTTGCAGTGTAGAAAATGTTATTTTTAAAAAGAATGCACTGCTGTTGCAAGCAGTAACATATTTCCTAAGATCTGGTTTGCATAATTTACCCTCTAAAACTGAAACCAGCAGGTATGGGGAGTGTTGGCAGTGGTTAGAGCAATGCGCTTGTGCCCTGAGAATGTTGCAAGCACCTGGATCGATCCCCACGACCTGCACTCTGGGTTCTGAGCCTGACCCTTGACCCTAAACTGCTCCCTGGTTACCACACAGTGGCAACCCTCCGCTCCCCAAAGGGATGAGTTAAATGCAGAGTGAATAAAGGGACAATAAAGGGATTTACATTTAGAAGGCTGTCTGGATACTGTGGCTGTAAAATACAAATTATTTGTACTTTCTGTGTCTGTCTTTCTATGAGAGATGATGAAACATGCTTTGGGAGTCACTGACCTTTCAGTGTATACAACTCAACCCGAGAGGAACAAAGGTCTGCCATGTTGATGTTCATCCCGCATTAGTTAAATTGCTTTTTCAGCACCAAGAAGTCATATTTAAACTGTAAAGCTGATGCCAGAAAGGTAAAAATAGTAACCAGCAGTAGGCAACAGTTTGAGAAAATGTGATGAAAGAGGAGAGAAAACACTCTTGCAACAATAGGAAACCTCAATAAGAAAAAAGCAGAAAGGCTGAGAGCAGAAGAGATGGAGAAACAATACACTAAGCCAGGAGAAGACAAAGCCCTCTCTATGGTAATGGAAAAAAAAGAGAAATAAATGGCAGCATATATTTATTACCTCTTTCCAGCAAAGGGATATTTTGAGAAAACGGGCTAAGGCACGGGTGGTTCTAGACAGGGGCCACTGCTGCTGTGGACCTGGCTACTGTTAGGCCCCCTCTACTGAGCACATTATACCAGTCACTTTTATATGATGACGTACGTTGGCATAGACACAGGTTGATCCTTTTTTTTTTCTCTTTGTGCCCCAATGAAAAAACACTGTCTGCACCCGACCTACCTGGTAAAACTGGTCTAGAACTGCCACTGGCTGAAAGGCTCGGTCATATGCTTTGTAAAAAAAATTAATGGCAGGTAAACAATTAATCGTTGAGCAAGGGGTAGTTTTAACACAAAGCAATTTGGAAAGGTTCAAAATAAAGAAATCTTCATAAAATGAGGAATATTACAGCAATCTTCATCATCCACTTCTTCAGACTGTCATACAACAGCGTCTATAGTCAAAAGCATCCACAGGACCACTATAAGACAGACAAAATCTACAACTTCTTAAAGAAACCACAATAAAAGTTACCTGTACTTTATTTTTGGGATTAATAAAGTGTTTAGTGAATCATTAAAAGGTAGTGAAAGAACCAGAGTGCATAGAATTAATTGCTAAGGTATGAAAATACATTTTTTCTCCAAATCAGGACGTTTACTCAGAAAAGCTCTATATTAAATTAGACTTCAGCCTTTAACAGGGGCGGAGCTAGATGGGGGGCCAGGGGTGACCTTGGCCACCCTCAGCCAATCAGTGGCCACCCCTACCGTTTTTTTTTTATCGCTCACGGTGGCAGCAGTAATACAATCAAGGGTAATGTTCAAACTTATTAAACATTTGAATTTTTCATATATTAACAACTACTTGACAACTAAAAAGCTGTGTTTAAGCACATCAAAATACTAACATTAAAATTGATATCTACAGAATTCACTCTCTTTTCAGAACTATATTTTCGTTTTATATGAGGTAAAGAGAAAATGATGTCTCTGCAAGTCATCTAGGAGTCTTTAGTGAAATCATAGATAAATAACTAATAATAACTTAAAAATCCATTTAATGTAGATATTAGTACATATAAATATATTTTTTATGCAGAACAATTTTTGATAAAGGTAGGTAAGTAATGACAATGGAGAAGATGTTTGCCCCAGAAATTTTGTCCTCTATACCTTTAATTAGTCAGCACAGATGTAAATATTTGCGTCTATTTGTAAGGAAAGGCTGTAGGAAAGTATAGTTAGTCTTTATTTACAAAATATGGATGTTGTGGTTGTTCCTTTTGGAACAGTGTGGATCAGAGGTCACGGATGAGAGGACCGCGGTCCGGATCCGGACCCACCTGCTGGATAATCCGGACCCAACCTGATTTAAAACATTTCTAAATCACCACATGTTGTCTGATGACAGTGTCTAAAGTCACTTGCACCGCTTCTCCTGTTACCCCCGAAATCCCACATCTTCCGCTCCGCCCCGCAGCATCCAGACGGCGCAAAGCAAAGCCTACAGCCTCCGCTGATCCTCCAGATCCCCATCAGGATATCCAGCATATGTGCGGTTTTTGATGGAGATGAGAAATCTGCTTCCTGGTCTGTTGAAGTACCAATAGTTTGCATCCATTCTTTTAAATAAACAGTGTTAGTTTTTTTTTTTTTTTTTACATGTATAAGAATTATGCTCTAGTTTGTAGTAACCGATCTGTTGTTACTATAGTTTAATTTGACAAGCCAGATCTTGCCGTTCTTTTTCCTGACCTGACCGGAGCGGAGCATATTTTGAGTATGTTTGGCTCAACCTGCTGCTGTGATGCATAAACACCTCATTTTATTTCAGTGTTAAATTCTGTTTAAAGTAACAGATTATAAATAAAAATGTCTCCGGACCTTTACTGGTTGTTGATTTTCTTTATTCGGACTCTAATGATTTTTAATTGGTGACCCCTGGCGTAGATTGAGCCTGAGTTTGTGGCTCCTATTCACTTTCGGACACCCCTCAGTGAACATTGGTTATTGCCTGGCCCCCCTTACTAAAATGTTCTAGCTACGCCTCTGGGTGAGGAAACCCTCCATGCTTCCCTCTTGCCCTTTAAACACACAGGGTTGGTTTGTGTGTGAAGGGGGCGGGGAGCTGAGGACGTGTAGCCGCTCTGCCTCTGCAGTCTCTCGGACCACACTGCGGATCACACGGGGTCAAAAAAATGGTGAAAATTACGGCCGTTAAGACCAAAGCCTACACGGACCAGAAGCCCGGGACGAGCGGGCTGAGGAAGAGGGTGACGGTGTTCCAGCAGAACCAGCACTATGCGGAAAACTTCATCCAGAGCATTATCTCCGTCATCGAGCCGGCCGAGCGACAGACGGCCACTCTGGTGGTGGGAGGAGACGGCAGGTTCTTCATGAAGGACGCCATTCAGCTGATAGTCCAGATAGCCGCAGCCAACGGGGTGAGATGGAGAAAATATCTGATTCAACTGTTTGCTAGGAGAGTGAAGCTAATGTAGCATGGCTGCTAGCAGTGCAGGTTTAGCTAGCTGTCAAGGTTGTTTGCTGTTTTCTTCACACTACGATGCTTTAGTCCATTCTGGTTACTTAAATAGGCTAACTTTATTTCATGCTGAATATAATTAACACCCTTATTTATTGTTTTGCACGAGGAATAATGTATATAACTCATTTCAGTTATCATTAGGCTGATAAAAAGTGATGCAACAGATTGTATCAAAGCTTTTGCTAAATAACCCTGCAAGCCCCTGCAGGCTCCCCTATTAATTTAGTTGGATGGCATTCCTGCCCCCACTTGCCACTCTCTATTGGCCTTTTTTTAATTTAGTTTGCGTGTATGGAAAACTACCTGATGATTATTAGCAGATTCTGATCACTTCAGAATCAGCTAGATTCAGTTTTTTCATTCCAATCACCTACCTGACAGCAGAGGACTTTCTGATGAAGTGTGGAGGGATGGGTATGGCAAGACCTTTTTACATAAAATCAAACACCATTCCTTTTTCATATATTTTTTTTTAATATGAAGAAAGGGGCGCTGGGAGATAAACTGTATTAAATGATCACAATTATTCACACAACTGACATCCTTGAAAATTAACATCGCAACACACAGCTGTATTTATTACATTTGGAAGTATAGGTTATTTTGTTGGCAATTTTACATTATAATGACATATGCTGACAATAGTCTTTTTATATATTTGATTTTAACTCATAAGGTTTAGACATTGATTTAGAAA